TAATTAAATTATTTTATTTTTTTCTAAACAAATTAGCAAATTAATTAAATAAATCAGATTATTTCATAATTTTAATTTTAAAGCCCAAATCATTTTTAAAATCCATTAGCCCATTTTAATTTGAAGTAAATGAATATACTTTACGTGGTGTTGTTGTAATATTAATATCTACTTTTTGGTATTTGTATGCATTGAATTAATCTCATTGGACGGCTAGTTATTTATTTATTTTTGAATTGGGCTACGTTAATTTGTAAAAGTTACGAATGAAATGTCATTAGTTGTATTTATGTAGTGTTGCTGTAAATATTAAAAAAATTAATTATGGTATGGAATCAAACGGAACCGAACCGACCTGAGCGGAACCGAACCCGAACGGTTCCATAATTATATTTTGACCCGACGGTTCCATTTATTAAATACCCGAAAGTTTTAGGTCGATTCGGACATCTTCAGAATCGAATCGAACCGACCCATGGACAGCCTTAGTCACTGCAAGTCCATTTAAAGAAACATGAATTCTTATAACGGTTGAATCTTCTTTTCATGCATGGACCACTATGAGAATCAACTTGCAAAGTTTCACATTATAACAAACTATACTATTATATCGAATACGTTCATCAATAAACATTCACGAATACACATATCTTACATCTTCAATGTCTCTTGATTAGGAATGACAACAGGACGGTTCAGAATCTGGGTATTCATTCTCGTTTTCGGTCCCATTGGATATTTTTTTCTTTTGTCTCGTTTATCGTCTCGTTTATTTTATTTTTCTCAAGTTTTTAGTTGGTGAAAAAAAAATTTTTTTTTTTCAAGTTGTAGAACAATTCATGTTCCATTTCAAAATGATGGTAATTATTTTCTTTTTGTGTGATAGAAAATTAAAATATGAAATGGACTTTAAACAGGCGTAGGTAATGGGCAGAGGCTATATTCTCCGTACTCAATGTGCAACAGTCAATCGACTAATTTATGAGGGATTATTCTAATAGAATCGACTTGCCAACTTTCATCATTATAAGGGACTATACTATTATCTCGACCCATAAAATGTTGAGCTGAATAAAGGTAACAATCAATGTGCAATTGTGGAATGGACCACTAACAAAGACGTGCATGCATGAAAGCACATTTGATGTTTGACTAATTTATATCCATTCCTTTAATTTAATTTCCTTTCGTT